AAAAAGCACACACACCCCCCCCGAGGTCAATCATACCATAATGGTGTAATCAAGTACACTGCCTCTTCGGGCTCCTTCACATTATTATTCCCATTTGTCAGTGAAGCAGCTCATGTTCATTACTCTTGATATGTCTTGATATTCTAAGGATTACTATCAAAATTTGACCTCTGACCTCCATCACAACAAACCATCTCACATTTTTTAGTGAATATTTATGCTTTGGAAAATTCTGTGGAGTTTTTTCCAAAGGGTTATTTGTGATAAATGCCTAGTTATGTTTCTTAGATAGGTGAGAAAAGTATACTCTGTACCGTTTACTGTATGTTTTTTCAGAAAATAGCTGGTTTAAACATTTTTTTATATCCGCTCTTTTCCCTCAGTCTGCCTTTTTAGTGGAAATAAATTTCCTACAGGGAGTGGCAATGGCTTTATTATTCTTTATGAAAGAATAATAGTCCCCTTTCCATTATCCCCTCTGTGGCTTCAGTTAAAGGTGTCTCCGTTGCATTTCTTACGCTATTGTGGATAAAGTGGAGATAATGAATTCTATAGTGGCATTAAAGACCAAGTCTGCAACTTTGGTTGAAACAGATTAGTTCAAACCACGATGTTGTTCAGCAACAACAGTACCTGCTGTGGTAAATAATCACTGAGTAGGAAAGTACTTGCCCTGCTTAGTGGACAGGACCAGCTTTAATCTCTAAGACACAGCTTCCATACTGCCATACCCAATGGATGCCATTTCTCAGCAAGATCAGGACTTTGACGTGAAATTAAGGTTTTCCCTTCCTTCCTTCCTTCCTTCCTTCCTTCTTTCCTTCCTTCCTTCCTTCCTTCCTTCCTTCCTTCCTTCCTTCCTTCCTTCCCTCTGTCAATAAGACCCCTGTTCTAAAGTCCCTGGAAATCCTTTGAAAAAGAGGCTGTGGCCATTAGTCTACAACATGAAAATTACTTGCTGTTATGTTGTTACACAGGAACAAATTCATCACATAAGGCTCAAAGATCCATGAAAGATGTTCCATATAAAAGTTTTGTGGGATTGTGGTTCTTTTTTAAATATCAACTTAGCGAGTAGTATTACAAGAAAAAGCACGAGAAGAAGTTCTTCCTCAGATTCACTGAAAGGACATTAGACTTGAAAAGTCAAGCGTGTCCTCTGTCGTCAAGAGTGAAGCAAGCAGAAACAGCAGGTGAGGGAGTACAGGTGGATGCCAAGGGGGAAGGGGAAGAGCACCCGCAGGTGCCAGCTG